CAACAAAAAGTTATCGTTCATGAGCAACAGAAACTTACACAAGTGCCTTTATATTGAGCTGCAGATATAGCAGTCGACCCTGAAAATGGGATGTTGTCAATGCGCGTACAACAAGTGGATCATACCAGAGGTTTGCGATATCGCCGCGGCGTTTGAAAGCTGTTTATAACACGATTTGAAATTAATCTAGAAAGGGGGTCCCTTCTAGACAATGTCAGTTTGACGTGTGAGGCTGACATTGGACAGCTGTACGTCAGCAGAGGTCGTTCAGAACTAGAACAGCGTCCTGAACGCCGCGGAAAGTCATCCAGTATATATATGGCCTAACTACAGGTTCACCAGAAGGATCACGGATTGGTGCACGAACATACCTTGTGACAGACCAAACATTGGATGACGATCATCGTCTGTCCTTTGGATATCTCCGTAGCATGGTAAGTAATAACTTAATGTACATAAAGCGATGTTAATGTGCATGCCATCAGATGACTAGTACTGAATAAGTACAGCAAAGGCACTCGAATTAAAGTGTTGGACGATCTGATAGTGGCTGACATGTGGCTATTTACAATCCACAAGGAGTCTAGTCACCCGTTCCTTGTCCACAGCATTTGTGGGGCACGCCGCCACGTGCCCACACACCCCTGTTCTGCCATCCACGCGGAGCGCAGCCGCAGGATTTAGGGGCTTTGCTGTACAATATACCAGTGTCCGATTCCTTTCAGAATACAGTTCTAGTATAAAACAGCCATCTCTGCGCAGACTACTGAAAGCCCAACGATCATCATCACCACCAACGGAAGCGCATTCCAGTACGCAAACGTCGCCTGGGATACGATGATACCCTTTTGCTTGAGGATGCCTTTCCATAGAAGCCCAGCGAGGCTTGCGCTGAAGGTGAACGACACGGCACCGATATTACTGGCTACAGCAAGGGCAATAGCAGCTGCGCGGATGGTTTGATCGGACAACATAGGAGATGCCGCACGCACGACCTTCGTGAGCAGAATCGTTGCACCAATGTTTGTCCCAGAGATGTTGCACAGGATTACTCCAAGAACACCGATCAGCCAGATGGTGCGGTACATGTCTCCGTGAGTTGCACGTAGTAACCACGTGCCAAAGACGTCTATCCAACCCTGATGCGACAGGGCTTCAATCAATATAAACTGCGAGAAGGCGAATGGGACAAGGGCGAAAGGGAGCCGAGGGAGCGCGGTGAAGAAGGTAGGGAAGTGAGCGTGCAGCTGTTTGTGCAGGGCGATGCATTTGGAGCGCCACCGGGCTGCGAAGATCTTGGATGAAGGTGAGGAGAAATCGTTGACGACAACGCGATCGGAATCGGGGATGAAATCCATCTCGTCTGTCGTGGGTACTGGGGGTGAGGACTGACGATGCCTACTCTTGTCACCTGATAATATTTGGGCATCTTGCAGCATGAAGTCCTCTGACGGTATTCCATTTTCCTCTGGCCCTTTCTGCCCGCGCCCGAGCATAGGCAACTTCCTGACAAAGCGGTAGTGATCCCAGGCAACATCATAGATAAACTTGGTGACAGCAAAAGGCAAGCTAATCTTCCACACGTCAATTCCGAAGAAGCTGACGACCAAGCACAGAATGAGGGCTGAACCAAGCATGAAGCTACCGACACAAGCGCCGATCGGATCAAGGAGGACTGAACGAGCGTCAAGGTCGGCGGCGTGGTTCAACTTGCGAGGAACATATTTTTTATTGCGGTATTGACCACCAAGAGCCAAGAAGCAGAAGATGCTGCAAGCAATAAATGGGAGGATGGTGTACGCTGTGAAAGCGGCATTATTCACGCTGAAACCTTCACAGATCACGACCTAACGTTATCGATGGAAGGACGTGTCATATTTACATTTGAGGTCAACAATACAGGGTCGAGACGTACATTCGTCGGGTTCCCGACAAACAAGACCATGCTCGCTGTGTTTGCCGCGGCAAACTCAGACATGAGCCATGAGATATGATTAAGCTCTGCGACTTTTGTGTAGTAAATAAGAAATGCGGTTCCAGAGAGAATGACTGGGTCGTTTCCGAGCAAGATTGACAGGAGGGTAAGCATGAGGTAGAAGTAGGAGTAGAGTTTCCAGCCGTTTGAACCACCCTTGTTGCTAACCCAAAACGCTGCTGACTGAAGGATACCGGTGATGTCGAGGGTAATAGCCATGTAGGCAAGGGAGAAAAAGAGGATGAGGATGTTGTAAGGTTTAACACCGTCTGTACCAACGATGCCTCCGCGAATGACTGCTGGGTCGAGACATTGTGCTGCCCAGAGGATTGCAATTGCGAGGATTGGGGCGGTTGTTAAATTTATTGGAATACGGGGTATTCGTCGAGGAGTGGGTATAGAAACTGGGTATATCACGAACCCAATTGATATGATGAAGACCACCAAGGTCGCGACAGAATAACCAGTAATCATGGGGGTGGACGTTGACCAGGACCGGTTGTGAATCGACTAGTCAGATGAAGTATATAAGTACGTGTCAATTCGGTAAATGCACCCACGCGACGTTTCCACACACGTATATATATATCTACATTACTAGATGTTGTAAAAGTTCGTAGAAGGGGAGCTGTCTATATGGACGTAGAAATTGATCCGTATTAGACACACGTCTTGGCTTTCTAGAAGCCATGGAATCCGCTGCGATACGCCGGTCATGACATATATGACTGACACCAAGCATGCAGGGGACATAATTACTAACATGTGCAACCACAGTCAATGCACTGGTTTGTATGTACACTAGCTACAAGCCTCCAAGTAATTACCGTCGACGTAGTCCAGCCAAACTTCTTGTCGCATCATAGCATGCGAATAAACAGAATGATCCTGGGAATAGCCCTGAAACCGCCCAATCGATCCGGCATTTGATGTTCTACATAGAACACACTGGCTGTGCAGCGCACTTGGTGTTTACGTGATAATGCTGTCATTGTCACTGATTATCGTCAACCAATTAAAATCGTCCAGATATCGTCAGCATTGAGTTGGCTAAAAGATTGGCAGATTGTTCTCTGGGATTATTCTAACTACTCAATGTAGCAGGTAGCTTCTATATAGACGTCAGTGCAGTGCTAACCTGTGTACAGACTCCAATGGGGCTCATTCTGAGCAGAACGTCTGGCGTCACCATCTCATTATCAACCCGCAGTAGGCTAAACTGAAAACTCACCCTCAAATGAAAAGCGTGGCTATTCAAATACTCACGAATGACGCCATTGGATGATTCCCGTGTCGTGGTTACTCCTTCGCATGGATCGCACGATACATGTCGTTCCACACTTCTTTGATTCGGACAGCCCCAAGTTGCCGTTCTAGCTGACTAGGGCCAATGGGCTTAGTGGAGACTGATGTTCTGGAGTTAGAGAAGCTCACCGAGGTCAGCCAGATTAGCTGCTGATACAGGCGTGAGTGAACATTTTCCTCCCAAGTATTTGGTCTGACAACTCTGAGAAGTGGATGTTTGGCAACAGCTTCCATTTCGCCTCATCTTGTTAATATTCTGGTGTTTTGTCCAAGTGCGGTCACATCCGCTCCAAGAAATACAGCGCCGCAGCATTTTTTGCACCACAAGTCTGATCCCTTGGAATCAAGATCCCACATTTTTCAATTATGTACGTCAGCGGGGCTAGTTGTCTCCGATGCTATGATACTTCACAAGGCCTGGGGAATTAAACAGCCGATTTGCATAATCACCCATGTAAGCCTTGGAATCCCAAACTCGTTTTGACTTACGGTTTGACTTACGACGTTTCAAGCATGTGTACGCCACCAAAATTAGCTTTCTGCCCTCTTCTGTTAACAGTTTCAAAACAAACACTTGATCACCCCTACACTCCAAGTATTCTTAATAAGTACTTAGTAGTAATCATTCATGCGATCACTGCACAAGCGCATGATGCCATGGCGGTTCCTACATGGTGAGCCACGATATGAGATAGTATGTTTCAGGCCGAAGAAGTTATCGCCGCTCGCTGACATTTCCGTCTTGCTGTAGAGTATAGATGGCCGACCCTATTCTTATTGTTGAATGTGCTGTCAATGACCTGTCAGATGATACACTGTCATCCGTGGCTTCCCGCTGCAGTAAATCCAGAGCACTATTCTCTCACCTTACTGTCTTTGCAGGCACCAGGAACAGCAATACCAAATTCCCAGTTGCGTGTTTATCTTCTCAAAGTAATGTTTGTTATTGACGATGTAGAACAGGTTGCAAATGCGATTGACGAATCGCCCACCAGCGTGCCTAGTCATGCTCATGATGATCTTGAGAGGAGACTACTATGGAAGTTCAACTTGCATATGTTGGTTATCGTGGTTATCTACAGTCTGAATTATGTGAGTGTGAACTCTGTCGATATGTAACGAAGTGCTCTTTTACCCGGTATTCTATTTCTTATATCTGGATAGTACAAACGGGATGAGCTCACCGTGAGACCAGCTCTCATTTCTTGTGGAGGTTTGCTCAGCTTTGGTTTCGGACCCTCGATTAAATCTGGTATTTTCAAGCCATGCGAGGAAAACTTGGTCGAGGAAAGAACTTGAACAATCTCCGTCACTGACCAAAGCTGGACGATCTCTAGGTTATGAGAGCAGTATTGCCATCTTCATCGCGATTTGCGTAATGTTCATAATCCCCGATTTGCTTCACAATAACAGATAGCTCGCTTTGGAGAAATGAGCACTGACTATCTCCCGCCTCGCAGAAGATGGTCGTGGTAGGGTTGAGCTTGAGAAAAAAACGATCATGCAAGGACTGGGATGCTGTGTCTGACTGGAAGGTGTGACTGCTACACGCTATCTCTTGTACTCAGAGAGACACTACAGGTTCCCGATGGCTCAATTTAACTACACTGGTTGCATAGTGCTCACCAGCACATTCGTCGGAGAGTCTACAAAGCAAGCTCTTGCTGTTGACCAGCGCAAATAGGAAATGCCATTGGATTGTTCTAGTAGCATTGACCCGGACCTCTCGTCCTCGTTTATTATCGCATAATTCTCCCAGGGAATATGATTTAGGTCAAGCTCGGACTCACATCGGTCGGCTATATAAATATCGCCACTGGAAATGCAGCTGAGTACCGCCTCACAATTCCCTCGGAATGCTTACTACAATGAAATGAAATTAAGAGAGATTAGTAGTTCGCGTTATGCGACAAAAAAAGCTTCATAGCTGGCTTGTATTAATTTAGCTAGTGCGATACTTAACGTTTGAATTCGTGAAATTCTACCTGCGTTGGCTGAAACTGGTTTCTGGTAGAGTCGTGACTTACTAGTAGTAGGTGTCTTGTTACCCTTCTGAAGTGCTTCGGCTTCGGCTGTCAAATGTTGACAAGAACAAGGTATAAGTTCCAACCTGCGCCCTCCCGCGCCAGGCCTGACCGCAACCGCACGAAGCCTCCACGCCTTGAAACTTCACCGGCATCTCCCACGCCAGTGTGACCTCCGGAGGTCCTTCACCATTCTTGCTTTTGCGCGGTCACCAGGCAAATGCTGGAGTGCTTATTTAGCCTTATTCTACTTGGTATAAACCACATCAGATGGAAGGTTGTTTAAGAAGAATGCAAGTGAAGTCGATCACAATAAACACAGACATAAGAAAATTTTATTTCCAACTAAATCAAGGAGACATGTCTCTATGTCCTAAGCTCGTCCAATTTCGACAAAGGATCCTCAAACGGACAACAGGTCAAAGTTATCATTGCCGTTCGAGTTGCCGATCGCAAGTGCGAGAAGGTTATCCTGTAGTAGTTGTGAGAGGAATACTCATTTTTTATCTGGAAAGCGAGCATACGGGTGTGGCAGAGAACGGCAGCGATGATACCGGCGCAGGCTCGTGTTTTGGAATACCTGGCGATGTCGATGATGCCGATAAGATTCGAGCGGTACGCCTACAGGCCTGGGAGATCCGGAAACATTGATGTTGAGTAGCTCCGTGAGTCACGGCATGTTCGGCTAGAATGATTGTCTTCTTCATGGTCTGACTATTAGAGGAGACTAATGTCCGGCGTTGTCGGCGGCATAATGTAGGATAAGTTGGGAAGGCAGGCTTTGGTCGGGGATAGCGGTGGTCATACGAGGGCGTGTGTGCTAAAAGCGCGCCTTCAATCGCTGGAGAAGGGCGAGGGCAGCGAGAGTGATAGATGAGTGAAGTTTGGTGGGGTGGAGATCAATGAAACTTGATTTAGGAGTTAGATCAGGATGACAGGTATTCTGAACACGCAAAGTGATGGGTAATGAAGAACCGTTCAGGTTGTAGGTTGACCAGATTGAAGTTTAGGTGGCGCTTCGTCGTTGCTCTTCACGTTCGCGTTGCCGAGCGCCAGAAAGTTGTCCCGTTCGTGGTCAAGAGATTTTTACCGCCGCCGCCGCCGCCGTTCCTATTACCCGGGTAATAAGTCGAAGGGAAATTTGCAGCTGACGAGGTTTTCGAGGTTTTGCCCTTTCGTTCTTACGTTACTCTGCACGTACCTCGTTGGCGTGAGCTTTGGGAGCCGAAGTGCTTCGGAGAGGTGACAGAGCACTTGTATGCTCAAGGATTGCAGGAACCGAGCAAGATCCGGATGCATAACAGGGTGCCGTAAACTCGACTGAAACCTTGCTTGTCATATTCATTGTAGCGGCGTGATCTACATACCAGGAGAAGATGACAGGGTAATGGAACTAGACCAAAAAACGGACGGATGTGGTGAAAGAATATGACAAAAGAGTCGTGACAGGCTTTGCTCAGAAACTTGAATACAAACAAACACATCGTACTTGTCGTCACTGGTGTGGTCATGTAGTTGCAGGTAAGTCGACGTTGAACTTTGCAGATCTGAGGCCTGCCAACTCGGAGGAGCTGTGGGGTGATTGTGTACCATGGAAGTTGCCGGTAAGTTAGGAACATGCATGATGTGAGGAATTTTGGGGTGATAAAACCTTGATATGCAACGTAATTTTGCAGGAACGACTGTCACTAGGAGAGACTATCTTGCCGCGGCATCCGCGATAATCGTCGCCGATGTCGCGGACTCTAAACTTCACACGCCATCATCGCACAATTCCTCGAGCACCTAGCCATCAGAATTCAGAAACGCTTCGACTCAGGGGTTTACTTACACTTGGTTCTCATGCTGTACTGATTGTGGGCCATAGTAAACTTTAGATGCTTTTTCTACGCAAAAACACGACTCTCGAGAGGACTCAGCGAAATCACACTCGAGTCGTTGTGCATTCCTATAATAGAGAAGGAACGGACAGCTTCCCTCTATCTGGTCTGCCTCCAGCAGACTAATGCATTACTGGATTCTCAAATCGAGATGCGTTCCCAATCATGCTGCACTGACTCATTTACGCTTAGCGGCACGTCGAACTTGTTTATCGCTCGCAAAGCCCCAGATCGACGCCAACATTCCATTGAAGGCTCCCAACTTGCTCATTGCCGTGGCGCTACCGTACTACTGAGGTTAGACTTCCGGACGTGTCAAATACCGGCTCCGCTGGTCCTACCGCTCTCAAGTATGTACACGTTCTACTTAATTGAAAGAGTCAAGTATACAACACGATACATTGCTATTTGACTATGTAGGGATAAGTTTGGATAATATTAGTGCTCACTCACAAGCCTTGACGGCCCAACGTAGGTTTCTTTGGACTCGAACTGGAATTAGTCATGTGCGAGGGATGTAGAGAATTCCGAAGGTAAACGTTCCAATGTCTCCTTTATAATGATTCACTGAATTGCTCTGCAGTATACAGGAATAAGCAATGATGACGGGGAATTTTTGGTCTCTATCAACTTTGTGTCTGACCTTTTTATCGTCTTGTGTCGCACTCAACACCCAGCTAGTCATTTCAAACTCCAAGGTTGCCCCAGACGATTTTGTAAAAGAGTATGTGCTTGATGCAGGGCTCATACGTGTCTAATCGATTTTGCAGTGCTATCGTGGTCAATGGTGACTACCCTGGACCAGTCCTCACAGCAGTGAAGGTACGAAGTTCGCTTTATGCGGCTGTTCATACCAACAAAATTGACTATGTTAAGGGCGAGCACTTTCAAATTAACGTCACGAATGCGTTGTTGGATAGATCAATGAACATGAGTACATCCATTGTTAGTCTCGTCTTTACTCTGGGATTGCGCTGACGTAGCTCCAGCACTGGCATGGAATCAAACAACATTTGTCGAACGAGATGGACGGAACTGCTATGGTGACCCAATGTCCCATAGTATCTGGGCATTCTTTCATGTACGACTTCACGCCCGTAAACCAGAGCGGGACATTTTGGTGCGGACTGGCTTTGTACCGCGGAAATGATCATTTACGATGTATCAGGTATCATTCACATTTCGCGCTCCAGTACTGTTGGTAATTTCATTCTTCATCGGAGTAAACAGCCAAATATTTTTTTATTTAGGCGAAGGTTTAAGAGGACCCATGGTCATTTACGACCCGCTAGATCCCCACTTGGACATGTATGATGTTGATGACAGTCAGTATTTACCTTTAACTATGCGTGTAGTTGCGTGTACTAACGATACGCAGCATCGACTATTCTTACTATCTTAGATTGGTAGGATGATCAGCAGCAGTTTCACTTGTTTAACTGAACTGCCTTGTTAAAGGTATCATGTGAACGCCTACGACGTCACCGGGTCCACCAATCCCGATGCAACACTCATTAATGGCCGCGGCCGTTATGAGGGCGGACCTCCGGTACCTCTTTCTGTTCTCAGTGTTGTGCAGGGAAAACGCTACCGTATCCGATTAATAAATATGGCATGCAAACCAAGCTTCGTATTCTCGATCGACGGCCACACGTTTACCGTCATCGAGGCAGATGGTGAAAACACATTGCCTCTGGCCGTTGACTCAATCCAGATCTTGGCTGGTCAACGGTACTCTTTAATTCTGAATGCAAATCAGACGGTCGACAACTACTGGATTCGGACAAACCCCAATTATAATACGACCTTTGCAGGAGGTCAAAATTCTGCAATTCTTAGATATGAAGGAGCTCTGCAACGGGACCCCATACACAGAGATTGGACTTCAAGTAACCCTTTGTCCGAACCGAATTTGCATGCTCTGGAAAACCCTGCAGCCCCTGGTCTTCCAGGGGTCGGTGGCGCAGACGTCTCGTTGAATCTGGTCAGCGTATGGGACGACAATATTGGGAGATTTCTCATCAATGGCTATAGCTATACTTCGCCGACCATTCCCGTTTTATTGCAAATTTTAACTGGACAATTGGATAACTCTCAGTTGCAGCCCTACGGGTCTGTTTACACCTTGCCACCTAACAAGACAATCGAAATGTCTATACCAGGCGGACAACCCGAGGGATATGTAAGTAGTCCATATTTCTTCCTTTCACTTTTCTCATGTACCACTGTAGCATCCTTTCCACTTGCATGGTGTGGGTATGACTGATTGCATCCGGTTCGTTCTATCTCATGTTTCACACAGCACACCTTCTCCGTTGTAAGAAGCGCTGGAAGCGATACATACAACTACGACAATCCCGTGCGGCGAGATACGACAAGTAACGGTGTTGCAGGTGATAATGTGACAATCCGCTTTAGAACCGATAATTCCGGGCCATGGTTATTCCACTGGTACGATCAATATAGTTGTTGTTGTGTATAGCTTAGCGACGTTCTTTTAGCCACATTGACTGGCACCTCGACCTGTAGGTGTTGTTTTGCGGTCCGCAGTCGGGTGAATTATCTGATCCAAATTCTGTAGGGGTATGGCCGTGGTATTCGCAGAAGACACCGATGATACTTCTTTGAGGATAAAAAGTAAAGGCCTATCTGATATTTCAATACCCTGACCTCATTGTCGTTGCTGTAGGTGCATGGAAGCAGCTGTGTCCGAACTATGATGACTTATCATCAACAATCCGGAACGAGTCGTGAGCACTATCGCCAAGGCAGCATTAAACACGAAATTCCAGGTAATTCAGAAAGCCTTTAGTATCCTATTTTCTTTACATTCTATCAGTGCTGTTTGTTACCAGCTTGTTGTGTACACTACATTTTTGCATTCTTCACACTAGTGAGAAAGTCTTCTTCTTTCATCGTTATCCTACAATAGATTGATCTTGCAGTGACAAGTTCGTCTGTATGTACTTAGGGCATAAATGATGTCCTTTGGCTTGCTCTTCCGAGAGTGAAGACCTGAAAGCCAGCCAGCCATTTAAGTTTGAGGGGCAGGGCTACGTGCACTTGCGCTGTCAGAAAACACCTAGGTCGATCACTCACAATTCTAATACAGCGAATTGAGACAGGTATCCGGAAAACCCTGTTTTCCCCAGCTCGGCGCCCGATGAGTCAGTTGAATGAAGGCTGCCTCGAGACTAGAATGCACAGCTGCACGGAAATTATCGAGGTACGAGAGTGAGGAAGCACCAGCTATGTATACAGCCTGGACGGAATTCGTGGATATTTTGGTCTAGGTGCCACCAGTGATCACAAACGCTCCCGGGTGTCGTTGGGTGATCGGACATGAGGTAGCCGCAGCTGTCCACGGCATACTGGAGATGATATACTGACCTTGAAGCTTATATTGAAGGCGCCCAGAGACACATTGCCTCCGTATTGGAAAGAGTAACTCGACGTGGACGGGTGTGTTTTGAATAGTAGAAATCCAAGGTAAA